ATCACTCGCAATTTCAGATTCACTGCACCACCTGATGCATGGAAACGGAAAAAAGTGCTCCCAACAGGGGTCGAACCTGTGACCTTGGGCTTATTAGACCCACGCTCTAACCGACTGAGCTATGAGAGCTCCGCACTTTGCGTCTTTAAGCACCATTCCAATCATGGTTCTTGATTAACGTAAGTGCACCAAGGAACAGGCGCGGATGGTCTAGGTGGGTATGACGTCGCTTTAACACGGCGAAGGTCTCGGGTTCGAATCCCGATCTGCGTACTTTTTGCTTATATGTTTATGAAAAATGATAAGGAATGAAACGCTCGAGCGCTCCCAGACCCTACCCTTCTGATAACTGTGGTCACCTGAGCAGAAACGCAAAAACAAACAAGGAAAGCGATGCGGCGGTAACGATATTGGGCTGCGGCTTTGAGACAGCTGTTTTCTTACTCTGGCTATTTAGACTCTGTACCTTGAGATAAAATGAGGGAAAGTGTGAAAATTACGTTTTTTCTTCATGACCGTGACTCACAATTTGCATGATCATACCATTCCCATTTCTTTTAGACCATATATGACAAATAACTAAAAAGAAAAAGACACTCCATTACCATGTTTTTCATCCTATTAAGCATTAGTATTCACCTCCACTTCGTTTTTTAACTCTCCAGATAAACTTGAAATTCCTCTGACATGGTCGGTCGATCCCCTAATGCAAACCACAGTTTATGCGCATTGAGCGTTTCCTGTTGTATAAGCAGCCCTCCAATGATACGAACGTGGTGATGATACTCCTGCAAAAGTGCACGCGCGCGGCACAAACACTCTTGCACAATGCGCTCCACCGAAGCGTCTACAGCATTCTCTTTCTCCTCTCCGAACGGCTTTTGAATTGCATCGTCACGGTTCAGCTCGTAGCCAAAGTGTCCAATATTCTTGGGGTCCATACCATAGGTACACACCATCTCTAGCGCCAGCTTGGTCGCATTCTGTAAATCATTCGCGGCGCTGGTGGATACATCATGAAAAAAATATTCCTCCGCGACGTAGCCACCTAGGATCCCTACGATGCGCTGCAATAACTGTTCTTCAGTCGAGATGTAAGCCCTTTTCGGGAGCATCTGCGTGACGCCGGTGCGGTGCTGCCCGCGCGGAAGGATGGTCGTTTTGATAACCGGATCGGTCTCTTTCTGGAACCAATTCAACACCACGACGCCTGCCTCATGGTAGGCGATACGCTCCTTCTCGCTCGGTGTATACCTGACCGCGCTCTTTTCAAGACCCATCAACACCCGCTCCACAGCAGCGTGAAAATGTTTCGTCGCGACGTACTCCTGCGCCTCGCGTGCGGCGTGTATGGCAGCCTCGTTGCAGATATTAAAGATATCCGCACCGCTGCAGCCTGGCGTCAAAGCTGCGATGATCTCGGCATAGTCCTGAGGTTTAGTGCTGGGCTCTAGACGCAGCGGCTGTAAATGCACCATAGCAATGGCCACGCGGTCCTTGTGAGAGGGTTTCTCAAGCGATACTTTGCGATCAAAGCGACCCGACCGCGTCAAAGCATTGTCCAAGATGTCAGCGCGGTTCGTGGCTGCTAGCACTATGATTCCAGAAGAATCCTTGAAGCCATCCAACTCTGAAAGAAACGCGTTCAGCGTTCCACGTGAATTGCCACCGCTGTCAGAGCGCCGCTTTCGCCCAAAGGAATCGATTTCGTCGATAAAGACGACACATGGCTTGCACTTGTTTGCCTCCCGAAACAGTTCGCGAACGCGCTGAGCACCAACACCGACGTATACCTCGTCAAATTCGCTTCCAGAACAACTCACAAACGGCACCATCGCTTCACCAGCCACAGCCTTAGCCAAAAGGGTCTTGCCGACCCCAGGCGGCCCATCCAACAGCACACCCTTAGGCAACCTCGCCCCGAGTTGTTGATATTGCTTGGGGTTCTTAAGGAAGTCAACGACCTCCAACACCTCATGTTTCGCCTCTGTCAAACCCGCTACATCACTGAGCCGCGTATTCACCAAGGTCTCACGCTTAAAGTTGAATCGTTTCTTTTCGATTTGCGCCATCATCGTGGCCATCTTGGCCGAACCATTGAATTTCGCGTTCACTACAGCCAAGAGGGGCATGAGGCACAAAAGCAACATCGGCACCCATGGGAAGTAAGATGAAAACTCCAGCAAGATATCGCTATCCGGATTGCATGTCTTTTCGAATTCACTAAAATCAATAAAGTGACGAACACCCACTATTCGACCCCGATCGTTAAGAAACGTTGCCGTATGCCGCTGCACATTAACAACTACGGTCTTGTAGTCCGTGATGTCTGCACGCTGATTGCTGTCCTCCATGTACCAACGGTATAGGGTTATGGCTATCAATGCCCCTGAGAAGATCAAAAAGTTGCGCAACGTCCTCAAGACCCTCATCCGCGTTTCGATCTCCATAATGATGATGCGCTCCTCTGGCAACACGCCATAGGCGCGCGTAATAGAATCGCTTCGCTTGTGTCGTGGTGGCATTTTCATCAGCAGCGGCTTCCCATAGAAGGATTCAAATCCCTTTGGAATGCTGACGTTGTCTCCGGATAAAGTAATCTTGAGGTCTGGGCAGGAATCGCCTTGACCAGACACACCGCTGCTACCCCCCGCGGAGGGTGATGACCCCTTAGCTTTACCTTCATCTTGTAATCCCTGCGGTGCCGAGTTGTCGCTCCCTTTGCGAGGGGGCTCCCCATCTATAGAGTTGGACCCACTGGTTCTTGGCGGGTTTGATCCATTGAGATCCTGATTGCCTTCACGACCCTTACCGCTGGTGCTTGGGGTGGGGCTACCGAGAGAACTACTGTATCGGAAACCGATCGCCAAAAGTGGCGTGAGGGGAAACACGCGAGGATGGTGAATTCCATAGTATGTTGACAATGGTCTTAGCAAGATCAAGCTACTCATGCGACACCGAAACATCTTGGATGATACTTCAAAAATAAGGAACGAGGAAGGGGAACGATCCACTATATCGAACCCAAATATACAGAATTTAAATAAAACTTTTTGTTATATACTGATGCATAAACGTAGGTAATCTTCAAAAAAATGAATAAGCAATTAAACCTTTCTTTTTATATGATTCTCTCTAGTTTCATTTTATGAAGACAATTGAAATAAAAAGTAAAAACTGTTAAATAGACTAAAAAAAAACATACTCATTTTGAAATTTATTGAATGTTTACTTTTGTGTTAAAGGTCCATACTTAGATTAGCTGCTTTTGTCAATTCTCATTATCACATCCACAACGAGAATTAAGAAAGTTGTCACCTTTTCCCAATCGTTGTTCCCCCCTCTTTCGTTATTTTTGCGATTCATTGCCGCTTACGCTCACGATCTTATACACTGACTGAATATTAGCTATCTCCACCTCCAGTAGCGGAGATGGTGCGTATAAACACCGCACAAGCTCAAGAGCCTTTTCACCGTAAACTCTCCGCTCTTCGGGATCACGTAAAACAGCGGCCAGGCGTGTGTATTCATTGATCATTTCTACTCGATATTCCGTTTTATGAATCAGCAGATCGGTTTCCAATGCCGCCTTCAGATGCTCTGCACACTTGTCGAGATTATTCATGTGGTAGTATGCTAAAGCAAGTGCCCTATGCGTCTTCGGCACCATCATCTGCGGCGGGTTCGGTGGTGGGCAAATGTACCGCATCACAATCTCGTAACTTTGCAGTAAGACTGTCACAGCGGTGTCGTACTTTCCATTGCGCGTCAGCTGGCATCCCTTTTGATAATAGTCAGCGGCCTTAATGTAGTGCTCCTTTCCCTCAGTTCCAACGGACTCGTCTACCTGGTTCACGCAAGTCGTACAGCGACAGATGAAACCGTAGCGGTTGCGCAAGGTCTGCAAGCGGTTGCGCATACTGTGAAAGTGAAACGCATCAATCCCTGCGTAAGCCAAGGTCAACTCCTCGCCTTCCATGATTGGCCGAATCGCCCTCACTACAAGTTTAGGGCTCGACCCTCGAGGGCCCCCCACGAAGGAAGCAAAGCAGTTCGGGTCGCAAGCATGATTGAAGAGAGAGCCGATAGCATACATCGCCTTCCCTAACTGTGCAGCACTGTTGGTGTATAACATGGATTTCCTTTCCATGTTAGGATCCTTACCCTGACCGAGACGTAGGACCAAGCTCACGTCCAGCGCGTTGGAATGGATCTGTCGTTGGGCTTTGCGAACAAGCTCAGCCTCAGACGCGGTGAAAGCCTTCATGTATAATCCAATGGCTGCAACAATCGACTCACAGCCACCAACCACGGCATTGTTCTGGAGCTCCTTCGAAAATGTTGTTAACATCTGCATGTGTGAGGCCCCGAATTGGTTGTGGCCTACTTCGTCAAAGTCTGGCGCTGCATTGTTCAGTTCTAACTCCGGAAACTGTTGGACACCATACAATGCAACCCTTGTTGCCAGGAGAACATCGTTGGGGCACATGAGAAAGAACGGATTGGTGGATTCAAACTGCCCATAATACCGCCATGCCGCCTCGGCGCATATTTCACTGCAAAATAGCCCGCGTGATTTGATCGCCGCACGGCGGAACACATCGCCAGGGTACAGACAGCTCGTGTGCTGCAGGCAGTAGGAGCAGACAGATAGCAACACCTCAGCACGAGCCACAAGTGCGTAGGGGGTCTCCTCCAGCACCGTCCCGCAGTTCAGGCGCTGCCGGGAAAAAAGGCCGCGGCCCTGAATCGTGCGCTCTACCTTCAAAGGCGCACGGAGCGTCGCGCGCGGGGGCAGCGCTAAGTCTGCCTGACACTTCATCACATCTCCTAGGATGTTGTCGATGGTATCGCGCGAGTTACTACTTTCAAAAGACTTGTCTAAGGCCGCCAAGACGTCTTTCTGGCCAGCATCCCTGAACCCCAGTTCCTCTAACGCACGCCCACGACGCTGCAAAGCCTTCCAGTAGTCCGTTTTGTAGTGAAGTGTGCGGTGGGCATCCAAGCATGCGTTAACATACTGGCCTATCTCGAAAAAGGCAGTGCTCCGGTTGTTAAGTGTAGTCGCTATTGTTGTGTCCGTCTCGGCGCAAATCAGACTATGAGTGTAGGACAGAATGCTGTCCTGGAGCATCCCTCTGGTATATTCATTGTTTCCTTTCTCCTTCCAATGGATAGAAACGGATTCATTCGGTTTCGAAACCACTTGTGCTGTTTCCTTCAAGTTATCGAGAGCTGTGAAAACATCTGGTTGGGAGCTCTTGAGCCTCACAAGAAGATCGTTAATCGTCATTAAAGCTCCGGTATCGACAGGGAAACTATCGCACAATCTCGTAATAAACTGGAACAAGTCGCCATTATTTCCATCAGTTTGGATCGGTTGGGAAGTCTCCGACCTCGCATCCGTAGCTGGCGCGACAGTTGCATTACCTCCCTTCGTCATGGTCTCACAACAACCTGAAGTCACTTCATTGTCATTACACGATAACATTGAAATGTTTTAGACTTTGCTTCGCTGTGTTTTTTCCTTTGTATGCTTGATGTATGGGCTAAGACTGATTCCTTTCAAAAAGAACTCCCCCTCACCTGTTATATGTAGAAAATAGAGCTGAGAGTATAAATAAATCCCAAAAAAATTATCCATCATGGAAATACAAGCATAAATAAATAAAACCAGCTGAAGAGATTTGATACATGCACAACATGGTGCCTCACCTTCCATTCTTTTCCAATATGAAGATCTAGTTTTATATAAATAAACTTAGCAATGTACGTGCTTTCCGGATATCGGTTCAGACTATTTACTTCCTTTTTTTTGAAGGGTAGATATATAATTTTTTACATGCATTAGACGAAGTGCGTACAGTAAAAATGGTAAGCAAGAAAAAAAATGATTCTAATAGCAGGAAAAACATCCTCTAAAAGAATATTAAAAATATCAGAAAAGAAAAAAAATTCAATTCTTTTTTATGTGTCCTGTCCTCATTTCGACCAGTCGTCGAAAGTCCTGAAAGCTAATTTTACCATCGCGATCAAAATCTGCTGCTTTCACTAGAATATCCAACTCCTCATCACTTAACTCCCCGAAACCAATGCGAGCCATGATGTAAGCCATTGTTTTCACATCAATATAATTTGTTCCATAAGGATCGTAGATCCGGAAAGCCTCTTGCACGGGATCAAAGTCGATGCTGCCGTTAGACGCGACAACAGCGGCTATTGCCGACATTGAGTCAGTGTTGCTCTCTGTAATTTTTTTCACAGTAGATGCCGCATTGACCGTAATAGATCGGTGCCTCGACGTGGCAGTTCCTTCCGTCGGTTGAGTTAACAATGACCCTTCTGAATTCAAATTAGTGAGTACCCCCTGGTACATGTCAATAATTTCCCAGAGCTGATCCAGGGTGATGGTGGTGCTGTTACCGGCAGTGTTACTACTACCCGCTGTCGCCTTCGCCACACCAATATTATCAAGCAAAAAGTAGTATTCTTTGCTGGTGAGGTTCGGATAGAAAGCCGAGAGCCTGGCTTTTAGACTGCTCACATTCAAGTAACCACATTGCTGGGTGTCAAAAAACTCAAATGCGGCCTGCACATCCTCGCGTGTCAAAAGAAAGGGTTTGTGTGCCGATCGGCTCTCCTTCTGTCTATCGGTTGATTTACCAGCGTTTTTTTTGTGTACAGAATCACCCATCTTCAATAATACAAAGGCTCTTTGATACCCTCCTTTTGTTTTTTTCTAATAAAAAAAATGATACTATAAAAGGGAACTAGAAAATGTTAGACAATAATTATTAGAAAGACATACCAATAATTACGGATTCAGTGAAAATAATTTTTTTCGTATAGTTAGAAACATTTTTTATCCTTGATAATTCTGCAACAACAAAGAGAAAAAGAAAGGAACACAAAGCTAATAAGGGAAAAAAGCCTGCTGTGATAGACGTCCATCATGAAAGATAAAAAAGGACCCTGAATTTTTTTTTATTAACCATAAAGTAAAAAACAGAATACAAAGTCGAGACAAAGCGCAAGCTCCAATTCTTCGTATTACGTGATTGCATGATACCAAATGAAAGGGGAACCCCCAATAAGCATAATGAAATATATCTCAATATTTTTGCGTTAATTCTTACCATCCCTTCTTGTGGAAGAATAGCTTTTGCATACAACTAAGCGAAAACTATACAGTGGAACAAATGAACAAGTAATACTTATAATATGTATAGCATATATTGCATTTGAAGAACTTTGAACAAAGTAATTTACTAGTACATTTTAAAGGGAAAAACAGGTATTTGTCTGATAGTATGAATTCAAAGGACCAATAAAAATATGTTTATTACTCAGAAAGACCGTTAATTATAATAAGCTTCCACAGATATACAAGTATATGTATGAGTTAGGTCGCTGGAATGCGCTCTTTTATGGGATGCTTTTTGCTATTCGATATAAGCCTCAGAAATAAAAATTGAAAATGACAAGATGCAGAAATTCAAATAGCAAATAAATAATTTTGTTATTTATTACGTGTGAATGCATTAAAATCTTGACAACCTTGATAAAATATAAGGCTTGACTTACATCGAACTCATATTTTGTTCATTTTTCGGTATTCTAAGCACATGTTTTTCTACATTTACGCACACCACATAATAGTAGTGCATTATTCATAGCCCTGTCTCATTCAGATCCACTATCCTTGGAAGCTGCCCTCATTTGTGATTCTATAATGCATTAATTTTAATTATAATTATTTAATACAGGTAAAAGAACAATGTATATTTTTTAATTATAAATTTTAATGCAACTATAAAATCTAGCAAAAGAAGAAAAAACGCCGTCGAAAATAAATCTCTTATAGGGCATACCTTCAGTATCAGTTACGAAATAGCATTAAGCTATTCAAATTTGATAAAACGCTTTAAAAATTCTAAGTTTCATTACAATGCGCTTTAATTTCGAAAAGTAGATCATCTTATTAAACACCATCATGTGTGAAAAAAGTAAATAACGAGGGGGGAGAATAGAGAACGCAGGTAAATTATACTCATATTCTTCTGAAGATAACTTATAATATTTTTTTCCCACATGCCTTCCTTCCCTCTCCTCCCACTTGCCCTTATATCTTTCAGTGGGAAAATGCCACTTATGGTGATGCACTGCCTACGCCGTTATTCATAAGATCTTTATGTTCATCGGTAAGTGGTCGTTGTAGTAAAAAAAATGCGCATCGGTAAACCAACTGCTTCATGCTTCGTTGGTTGTTTGTGTATGTTGTGTCGATGAATGTCGGCGAGGACTGCAAGACAAATCCGATGCGCTGCGCCACCGTCAGTACTTCCCCAAGAGACAGCTCAATCGACATGTCCTCAACGCTGTCCGCGAAGTGGTATAAAAGAGGCCCGACATTGACCCAATAACCCCCAGGAACCAGTAAATTGTAAATAGTCTCCAAGTACTCAATGATATTGTGTGCAGTGTCAATAAAAAAGCACGTGACAACAGCAGACCAGGTTTTGTGTTGGCTCAGCTTTGAATAGACCTCAGTGAAGTCACCCGCTACCATGGAGAGCTCACCAAAACTCAACCCTTTATTCTGAAGCTCATCAATTGCTTCATACGCGCATAAATCGGGTATGAGTACCTCGACAAACTGATCTGCACGGTTTACTAAATTACAGGTACTATCGCTGTACGGGAAAATACGATGTTGACATGCCTCTGTGGCATGGTTCTGAATGTAATGGCCAGCGATAAGCATGTGGTAGCTGAATTCATTGGCTTGGGCGAAGAATCCACGCAGCCCGAGCTCTACAGACAGTCGGCACAGCCCCGCACCTGGAATCAAAATACGATTATTTAGACGTTGTTCACGATTAGGGAAACAGCGCTCCAGGGCATCTAGAATCGGATTATAGACGCAATCCCTTTCTGGAGCTCCCTCACCAGCCCAGTCGCGCACGAATTGACGCAGGGTCGAGAAGACCTTATCCATATCCAGTGGAGTAGGCGACGGGACGTCATCCAATCGAACGGTCGTTCCTTCCGGCCAGTAGCTCCTGAAGAGTTCCCCACCAGAGTTGCAGATGGCATCAAAAAAATCGTTGTTGGCTTGAATACATTCGGAATAGCTCTCAAACATTGCGTCCAGTTGAACACAGAGTAAGTCACGATGTTTATTTTGTAATGTTAAAAAGTTTTTGTGTCGCATGTCGCGCACGTCCATGGCTTGTTTTTTGTAGTGCTGAAAGGCTGAAATGGTGCGAAGAAAACTAATGTGATCTTCCAGCATATCTTTATCGGGTGCTTTTCCCTCCTGTTGGGTAGATATGTTGAGCTCTGGCTTCAATTGCATCCCTAGAGTCGCTGGCAAATAATGTCCTTCGGCACAATAGGGATAAGGCGGTGGCATTTTGGACTCGATCACATCCCGAAGCAGACGATTTTCAGGATCACCAGTAGTCCTATCACTATTTATTAAACCTCCCGATTTCCCAGAATTTTCAGTAGTTGATAAGCCTGATTTATTCATGTCCACAATCAAAATTTTAAAAAGGTGACTCACTTATTTTACTCTTTTTGGACTCTTTTATGCTATGATTACTGAATCGATTTAGAGTTTAGTCAAGTAAAATATTTATTCGCTTGAATTCAATTCTAAGTCGGTAAGATGGAAAGGAAAAGACTTAGTCGATTTGTTTGAAGCTACGTCAATAGGACTCTTGGCTTCTTAACATCAACATGAAAATAATGAAAGCAATAAATAGAAGTCTGAAAATTTGTAGCGAGTCAAGCGGCACTACACCTCTTCTCAAATAACCCCAAGACTACACAAGTCTAAGTATTTCATAATGTCTTTCTCCAAAAAATATGTCTCCTGCTGCAACGACACATACACGGGAAGCCATTTTTCACGCAATTTCTTCTGCCGTTCCCACCACTCCTTTAGTTGCTGCATCAAACTTGCCGATCGCCGCTCCGGCCCGATACGATCGTACCAAGCCCTTGCTCTATGGCTTACATGGCTATGTGATTCCATACCTTTCATCAATGTCTGATAAAATTCGTAGAGACGCCGGTAGTCTCGCAGAGACTCCACTAGTTGTTCATCAGAGGTAATCATCATCGATGGGAGTTGGCATTCCCTAAGAGATTTCTGTATAAGTGCAAGTCGTACCGCTTGACGATTCTTAAGTAAATCCATGCTCTCATGATGCTGAGAGTCAGAAGTAATGAATAACAACCCAAGGTCGCCACTTTCCCACTCAATACCGCACTGAGAAAGGTCCGTGTACTGCGCTAGTATCTTTCCTTCGCTGTGGATCTCTTCTCTGGTGTACTTATTCGCCTCTCTCATTTTTATCTCATCCTCACCGCTATTGGTATCTATGTTTCTTGGGCGAACTCTGTTCTCTGTTTTGGCTGTCCCCAATCCACTCATGATCCCACGACCGCGAGTAAACAAGTCTCGATCGACATAAAGCTCCATTGCATGCAACTGACTTGCATACTGTTTGACACTCTGAGAATTCGCCGAAAGTTTTGGGAATGCCCTATTTGCCACCCGCTGTTTGGTAAGCCTGCTATCGTATTGATTCAAATCAATGAGAGCATACCCCTCTGTCTTAAGTTCAAACTGCGTGCCAGAAGTGCCTTTAGATGCTAAAAGGTTCACAACCGCTTGCACATCCTTCATATGATAAGCAAGTCTCCCATTTGAAGTAGACAAGCCAAAGAATCTAATGGGAATCTCATCACCGTCATTTTTGTTAAAGGTCTTAGGCGCATCCGGCGATGCTGATCTAAATGAGAAAATATAGCTTAAAATTTCTTTCAAGGAACGTGGAGAAGGACCCAAGTAATGTGCTATAGCCAGGACGAACATACGATGCTCACTTGACGCTAATAAACCATCTAGGGATGTTTGAGGAAGTATGCCCCTATCACCCCCAGCAAATGTCGCGGTATCCGAAGTGCGCACATTCATAGTCATTGATAGGGATGTGATATCCTGTGGTAAGGATGTGGAGTCCAAGAAAGCGGGTGGCATTCCGTTTGGGTGTTGGTCATTTTCAACCCCTTTTATCGTCCCCACTGTCGAAGCCTTGGGGTTAGAGAGCTCAGTGCACACCCACGAATCCTCTACAAACTGCAATGCACACTTCAGAGGCTCTGTTATAGTATTTGAAAGGGGCCTTAAAGGAAGATGAAGCGAAGTGGCGACAGATACTGCTTCAACATTATCCAAATACTGTTGAAATGGCTTCAGCTGCACAGACCACTGCTTTCCTTGCCCAGTATGCGTAAAACACAGCCATGTGTTTGATGCGAGGGCCACTGACTTCTCCTCTGTGGAATGGCTTTTCACGTCTATACTATTCTCATTCGTGGAAACACCGTGGAACGTGCAAAAAAGATCTTCATGAAACGTGTTTTGAAGTAGATCTTCAGGCAATGTCCCAAAAATAACGACATCTGATGAAAGCATAACTTATTCGCTACCAGCTTAATTTATTGTCCTTCACCTAAGAATACCTTCTATTTTTTTCCTTTCTTTTTATCATTATAGAAAATGATGATCATATACAACATGTGAAAGGGAAAGAAGATGAAAGTACAGAGATAAATTTTTCAAATACATCTTTTTAAAAGTGAAAAGGTGTCACAATTTGACAAATTCCAATAGTAACCTATCTTTACTCTTATAATATCAATTTTAAATTCACTTATAGTAATAAAATAATACTTTGGCCAGCATACTTAATATTAAATATATGATTTAAACCAATAAAAATGAATAAATTGGTTATGATTACGCTCACTTTTAGTTACCCTAATTTTTTCATTTCATTCGAGAAAGTGCAACGCGGGTCCTGATCCTCCGCACTCATGTGAACCTGGCTCCAAGCCTTAAACTGTTTGGGCATGCACTCCCGCACCAACCGCTTTACCAAACTAGGGCTTTTCTTGGCAAGCTCTAATAGTGCCATTGCTGCAGAACGCTGCATACTTTCCACGCCATAATTATCGTTGTTCTTGTCAGCGGATTTTTCGACATGTTCACAAGTAAGCTTAATAAGTTTCTCGGAAGAAACACCAGTGCTTGCGAGATAAGCCACAAAGAAGAAAATGCGGGCCAAAATCTTGTTATCGATGGGGTCCCCAACTATCCTGGGCTGACGTTTCCGCTGAAGTAAGGACGTTAGCACCTCCATACCGTTATGCTGTAAAAAAGAAACAGTATTCAGTTCAAAGTTACGGCACAAACAGCTGCACGCATGTAAGAGAGCGGCTAGAGTCGTGGGAGACTCTTCTTTCAACAACATTGGAATGATAATATCTGCCCATTTTGCGTCGGCAAAGCACTGCTGAACACGTCCGTGTTGCTGAGAGGAGTGCGAAACAATAGAAGCTAGTGCAGCACGCACCTCACTGGTGCCCTCGGCAAACCTCTCGAGACCATTTTTTTCCAAACTTTGGAGCAAAATTAAAATACGTTTAGACCCTCCCATGAGCGCAAATTCTGTGGCCCAGTTGATGTCCTCAACCAAGTCTGATAGCTCTTCCAAAGCATTGATTATCTCATCTTTGGAAATATCCGGCTTCTCCACCGTATCAAGCAGTCGCTTTACTTGACGCTCAGGAGACTCGACAGATGCCAATGCCTCACGCAACCATTCGTAATCCTTTGGATTTCGACCAGGAACTGTGATATTCCGCTGTGATGTATTCTCGGATTTAGCAGGAACTGGTGCGCCGTCAATGGATCGTAATGCCGGTAAGGAAGATTCCCTGACAGAGGAATTATTGGAATTGACATCGCCATTGTTCCCATCAGTGTCAGCAGGATCCGGCATGTCAGGAGTGGATGCCGTGTAGGTATGACTTGTGCCCTCCTTTGCCTTGGCACACATTTCAAGAAGCATCGCGTTAACTACGGGATCCTGAGACATTATCACCCTTTAAAATAAATATATTTTTTATAAAAATGGTATTTCTGTACGTGTATCTGGTGTATTTAAAATAGCAATACTATAAAAGCAATCTTAAGTGTGAAACTTATAATGATTAATAGAAAATAATAGAAATACTAACAAATGCATCTGTACCGACGGTATTGCCCTCCATATTTGGGCATTGAAACAAGAACGTGTATTTGAACACTTTTAAGTAACCCTCGGATATAAAATGCGCATAAAAATCGTGATTGTAGAATTCAAAAGAGCTAAGTGCAATAAAATTAAGCATAAACTTCTACCTTCATGCGTCTTTCCCAGTTTATCTCGTCAATTGTGAGTTAAGGCATGATGTAATTTTATCAAAAAACGTGCAGTTGTTCTTTGTCCCCCATGGAAAACATCTCCCCCTCACCAACCGATCGTCCTTCAGGTTTCATTCAGTTTCAGATCTAAATCCTATTTCCCTAAGCTCTTTAATCCACATCAAAATTTCCTTCTTCATGTTGCAGCCAAAAGAGTGCTTTTGGGGGGGGGGGGGGGGGATACATTTCAGTCTCCTCTTTGTGTCAGAATTTATTGACTGTGTATTGATGTTCTTCTTTAGCATCATAAACGGCTTCTAATTTATCTTTGACAATGTCTAAGGGTAAAGTCGTCATAAAATTCACTGTAGAAAAGACTGATCAATTATTTTATTAGCGTACGATAGTAGTGTCCTCCAAAGCGAGGTCTATCATTATGAATAGTGCATAAGATGTTTGTTTATGATTGAAAAATTTCCATGGAATCCTGTGGAGGGCAGAATAAAGTCCTATGATAAGTAGTCCAGATTAAAGAGGATTACTGCACAAAAAAATTCATAGGTACAGCACTGCAGTCCCATCTGCTCAATAAAATAGAACATCGGCAGTACTATCTATATTTCCATGGTTCCTATTCAACCCTAATAAGGCATTTTTACCTTGCTCTCAGCACGATCATTCCCAAAAGGCCCATTTAATGTTTTATCATCAAAAAGGATATTGATGAAGTTCAGAACATATTGCTCCGGTCACGCTTCATAGGATAAGGACTCAATTCGCAGCATCGAAATTGTCGATACTG